TGCGCCTTTTGAGCGAATTGGCATGGATGCAGCTGGTCTATTTCCTACCAGTAAATTAAGAAACAAGTATGTTTTGGTAGTTATGGACTATTTCAAAAAATGACCAGAAGTATACGCAACTTCTCACCATGAGACCGAAACAGTAGTAGTATTCATCAACAATTAGATAACGAGATATGGTGTTTCAATATAATTATATTCTGACCAAGGAAGAAATATTTAATCGGCTCTAATTCAAGAGATGTTCCAGAAACTGGGTACCCGGAAAACTTGTACAACTGCACTACATACGCAGACCGATGACATATTAGAAGAATATTTGAGGAGAGTTGTGGACAAGTATCAAAAAGATTGGGATACCCAAATAACCTTGTTCCTGATGGCTTATCGGTCTGCTGTACATAAAACAACAGGGCAGACTCCAGCAAGGACAATTTTTGGTAATGATCTTCGATTACCGATTGGTTTGAAATTTAGAACGCCAACGGAGGAAGGAATGCTAAGGAAGTCAATAGTATCCTAGAAGACGAGATGAATATATGCATGCTATGGTGAGACTGCACACCAAAATTATGAGCGATAAAATGAAACAAAATACGACAAGGCAATGAAATCTGAGGGTTTTATCGAAGATTTGGGGTATTGTTATATAACCCACAACGAAAGAAAGGGCTGTGTCCAAAATTACAATGTAATTTGGAAGGACCATACCAGGTAATTAAACGACTCAACGTAGTTTATCGCACACACATTGGACGACCAAGGAAATAAGTGAAGGTAGTTCATCTGGAACAGCTTGCAATGTTTGGTACCGCAAATATGTCTAAACGGGCCGATCAGTTTATGGTGGAGGGCAGTGTGGCGAACACAAATACCAGAACAATTCAGAATTGACGATAAACAGCCAGAAACAAGTAGACAGAGAATTCGTAGTTGCCAGTGTGTTCTCGAAAGAAAGAGTTTGTCTGGAAATTAACACATGACCACCACCAGCAACTCAATGCATTTTGCCTAAGAAAGAGATAACCGATCACGAGTACACAAGTGGTTTGGTTAGATTTGTCAATTCTGGCAAGTAACAAGTAATTTAACCAAAAGCTCGCCTGCAAGAAGCAATCTCGTAACCACTTTACTGACGAAAGCGTACATTGTATCAGCCTACAAGTAACCAAAGAATCAGCTGTTTTCCTATGTGGGTGAAATAGCCGTGATCACCTCATCGAATCTGCATTTTTTCGACACAGAGATGTAAATAAAAGAAATGTATTGTAGTTTAACAACTTGGTTCTAAACATGTATTTGTAATGGAGAATATTATTGAAAACTTTCAAGAATATTTTCGAAACAAAAGATTATTATATATTTATTGCTTTTCCTCACCACCTCTAAGGCGGTCGGCTCCCCAGGATACCTATATTTACCCATATAATATATATAGTTCTTAAACAATCTACTTTTCATAACAATTATAACTCGAATAGATATATACTTCTTAAAATCAGGTACATGAATCAGGTTCGTGAATATTAATTACATTAACAATTTAACATTAACAATATAAGTTGAAATATTCAACTTGATTTGAACAAAAACGAAAATATGTATAAAAAATTATATACAATTCAGGAACAATAACATAATCAAAACAATCTACTAAGTAATACATAATATTTACAAAATATTCCAAATCACCGTTACACAATAATATATTTGATAAAATTGGAAACACTTAAAAATATTTCAATACATTAAATAATAATTTAAATAATACTATGTAAATTTAATCTTTAGGAATTAAAACAACCAAAATATATTTGAATATGTAATAAAAACATTCTTAAAGTTATAAATTTTAAAACATAACACGGCAACACACTATAGCAGATTAGATTTGTGTCATTTGTACACTCAATCTTCATGTGAAATTTCCGTTGACACGTTTTTTGCTTTTATATCAAAGAGTCAATCTGTCGAAGGACTGACGCGACGACAAAGCGTCACAACATTGTGTTGGTAGAAAATCCGAGATGTGCCGAAAAATAATCGAACGAAATTCCCTTGCCGCTCTAACAGCTTTGCCTACAAATCATTGAGGTATGTATGTTTTTATATGAACATGCATACATATTGACGAAGATATTTGCGAGCCACGGAAAAATATTTTAGAATTGTGAAATATTTTAAATCGACAAAAGCTTTGTTGATACTTTTGTCATTGTTTTCTGTGTTTGCAGGGTTGTCACTTTTCCCTTTTAGAGGGAACATCAGAAAGATGTTCAATTTATGATTTCTAGCTTTTGCCATCGTCGCGAAAAGACGCTTGTAGGCAAAGGCCTGCTCGGGGAGATGTGTAAGGCATTTGCTTTTATGAATGAAACGACTTAGCTTATTGCTTGTGCGCCAGCGATCATGAATGAAAATGTTGTTGGTGTGTGATTTACTACAAATTTAGGATTTGTCAATTTGGCTGCCATAGTGATTTCTGGTGCTGATGCTATTTGAGACAATGTTTTCTTTTTGTACAACAATGTTTGTGTTTTGCCTATTGGCTGACGTACTCAAATTTGTACGCTTAAATGTATGTAGATTTGTGTATGCATTACTTATTTTGCGCGGTCATACGCATATTTGTACATTCATACTTACATATAGCGCAGTGCGCTCACATGTATTTATTGATAATTGATAATATATTATTATATTATATAATATAACATATTGATGTACATACATAAATTATTAATTCTGTAACAATTGAAATTAGAAAATTATGAAAATAGTAAAATATCATTTTTTGCATAATCTTTCACATTTTATCAATGTAACATTTGTGCAAAAAATCATATTCTATTAATTTTTCATCATAAAAATCGTTTATATTGCAAAAAATAATCATGCATATGTGAAGTGGCATTTGTATTTTTTGTTTTCTCTTTCATTTCATTTAATTTTTCTCTTTATGTTGGGAGATACGTAATTTGTCAGAGAACGTTGTTAGAAATTCTCATTTCTGTTAAATAACAGCAAATCCTACAGAAAATGGTGAACTCCTTGATCTCAATTTTTCAGCCAACCAATCGAGCATCATACAAAATTCAATTTGCACCATCTCGTTGTTTTAAGTTCTCTGGTTCAATTGCGGACCAGCGTGTGAATTGTCCAAATCTAACAAAAAACGATGTTTGGATTTCACCACAGCTAGCTCGAAATGGAAAATTTTAACAGTGGTGCGTTAACAGAGCTGAGCATTGAATGAAAATTATGCTTAGAAATATATATTGCTTTACAGCGCCCTTTGGCTTATAATATTATACGTTTATATGCAATGACATGTGTTGTTACTTTTGTGAATTTTTAGGAATGCATGCAGAACTTATAATCAGAGAACGTATATGATAGAGAAGGTTCAATTGCGGACCAGCGTGTGAATTGTCAAAACCTAACAAGATTTTAATAGAGGATTTCACCACTTTTGGCTCGGAAGGAGAAATTTTAACAGTGGAGAGTGAACAGAGCTGAGCATTGTATGAAAATTATGCTCAGAGACTTGCTTTGATATTACAGCTGCATGTTAGCCTTCTGGCTTATATTCTTATACGCTTATATGCAAACATATTTATTGATATGAATATCATTTTGCGAATTTTTATGAATGCATGCAAAACTGATAAGATCTTTTAAATTATGAAATTTTGAAATAATATTTATAGTCAATTTGGGCATTTAATAATTTTATTTAGTTTTTACCTAATATACATTCATACTAAATAATTTATATAATAATAATAGAGATTAAATTTATTACAATATATGTATGTATATACATCTTTTATCATATTAATCTTATATAGTCATATGTATGTACGTATATATTTGAATGTACGCATTCAGAAAGTCAAATCATGATTTTATCACTTATCAATACACTATACGTGCGCGCATTGATTTATATGTACACGCATATATCTACATAAAATTGCCGAACAAATAATGCATACACAAACCAACCTACATATGTGTGTGCGTACACAAGTCAATATGTCAGCCAAATAGGCGAAGCCCAAATTTATAGTAAATTACACAACAACAACATTTTCATTCATGAACGCAGGCGTACTTTTAACAAGCAACCCGCTTCATTCATAAAAACAGATACCCTCACATCCCCCCGAGCATGCGTTTGCCAACAAGCTTCTTTTCGCGACGATGGCAAAAGCTAAAAATCATAAATTGAAAAAATTTCTGATATTTCCTCTAGAAGGGAAAAGTGACAACCCCTCAAATATGAGTATTAAAATATTTTAGAATAAAAATGACAACATAGTATATTTGTCGATTTACAATTCAAGAAACTTTTTAAGGAAAATATTCAATATTCCTCTGATTTATGTAAACAGTAAACCCCGGATAAGTTTAACTCCTCCTATCCCTCTTATCTGCCTGTGTCTTGCTGCATCTCACGTTTTTTTCTTAATTTTTTAGGGAAAACGTTAATTTTGTTTTAAATACATAGAAATTATTTTGTTTGGTACCACTCGCTTAAGTACCACAATCGCTTATGTACTACAAAGCACAAAAAATCTCCATCTTTGGTTTTGGCACTTAACCGGGTTTGACTGTATTTGTCAAAGAATGTGCGTATGTAAATATGCGAATTTTTTGTACACACATCTGCCCGTATATATGCACATGACTTGTTGACTTTGTTTCCATTTACGCATGCCACGTTGTATATGAATAAGGGTTGATTTTGCACTTGTCATATGCGATGTACGTTTGTAAAAGTGTGTATGGTTCTGTTGGTCAAAGTTATGTAAGTTTTTTTTTAGCATATTGGCATATGCACGAAATTGTATTCCTTCTAAAGTAAAGACAACTTTATTGTTTTAAAATAAAATATGTAACTTTTATTACTTATATTTTTCTTAAAACTAACAATTGAAGGTTTTTTACAAAATTTAAATAAAAATTAAATACAATTTTAAAATATAAAAACTGATTTACGAAATTTTCCATTTAAAATGGAAATTTCTCACACGACTTAATAATTAAATTAAGTCAATTAATTTCACCTGCTTTTTTAAACACAATTTAATCCATCTTGATTAAGTGCAATATTAATGTTTAAAAAAGCTAGGCTCAGTTGCAACAGTAATAAAAAAGAAAAATGAAAAAAAACCTGGAAATATAAAATAAAACTGAAATTAGAAGAAAAGCTGAAAATATAAAGGAGCTGAAAATAAAAAAAGAACCTGTAAATAGAATAAATAGCAAAACATTGAAAAAACGTAAATATTCTTTTCATTTGGTTAATTCATTACTCACCCGAAAGTAGGATGTTCGTTAATGAATAGGCCCTGACTTGCAACTTACTTAAGTTTTTTTATTTTATCATCGCACTTCCGATGTCGTTCCCTATTTATTTCTTCTTTCACCAACCATTTTGAATTTTTAAACAGAAGAACGGTCACTAAATATTCTAAAAGTTTGGTTTTATGAGTATAACACCCATCGGACTTATTAAACCATTCAGGAAAAACCTTTTCGGTTCTTTGTTGTATAGCAGACAACATCAGACAACGAACATTAGAATAATGAGCATATTCGTTGAAGAGCTTGACGTACCACATCATTTGCAGTCGACACACTTCGAAGACCCTATCACTAGGATTGACTAGCCTTAAATCGCCGTCATCCTTATAGTTTTTTGCTCTGATTAGGGCCTCCGAATAGAGCGTTAAATCGCTCTGTGTCTTTGTCATTGCCTCAGTACATTTATCGCAATGAATTTTACACAAAATTTTCTGGTAAATACCATAGCCAGTGTAATACCGCTTGACTTGGACGTCAGCTTCGTCGTCCTCTTCAACGAAATTTTCGTCTGGAATAACAAAATTTTCCAAACCGAGTTGCTCATATTCCTGATCGCTTTCCTGCTTATCTAAATGACGATCTTCGGGGCCTAGGTTCCAATCTAAATTTACATCGTCATCATCCTCACAATTAGCCCCCTTATTTTCGAAGTTCTGCCTTAAAATTTTCATCGATATTAATCGTCCTACTATATATTGAATTTCATGGGCAGTGGGATGGGTATTCATACCCAGACTGGCTCGGACTCTATAAAAAAAATTTTCCAACGCATCCTGATTCAATTTCCCAAGGAATATATATTTTAATTCCTTTTGATCCCTAAATAGCTCATTGGACAACATTATCATAGCCCTAATAGTTTTAACAAAACCGTCAATACATTTGACGCGATTACTATTAGGAAATTTCATTGACTTTAAAAACTGTATATGATCATAGAGGCGTTGGACCTTCCCGGAATCATTTCTTAAAAGCGGATATTTTAATGGATTTTTTGATGCAAAATTTTTGCAGTCTAAATCATCGAAGAGATCGTTCATTCTCTTCACAAATAACTGCGTAGGCTTGACACATTTTTTTAAATATTCGTCAGAGCCGAATAGATTTTGGCTATAGGCCATTTCTATGCCAGCCGCGACCGAATTACTCAGAACTTGAGTTGCACGTTTTACAGACATTTTTTCAAAGGCGCTGGGATATATGTGGGACTCTGTTAGTTTTGGACAAATCTTAAAATGTGTATTGCTCTGATCGATAGAGTATAGTTTTTTAATAATATTGAAACTGACTATTCCATCGGGACTTGAAATATCATATTTCATTAACGTATTGCGGACAGACTTAAATAGGTGGCAATAATCATATAAGCAATACACTTTAGAACCTTCGTGCATATAAAAGGGCTTTTCTTCAGTAATTTGCATTAAATTGAAAATTGAAGAGTTTGGTCCCCCCTGATCGCAGACTAAAGCCTTTACGCTAAGGCCAATCGACTTCAGTGCTGCGATATTTTTATTCAAAATTTCAAATAAATTTTGACTTAGAAGTCCACCTTTGGAAATATAGTAAGAAAACACATATTTCCAACTTGAACTCAACCCTTTTACCATAAAAAAAACCACATTTACTACCTATTTTTATTTCGCGATGGCCTTCCCCGTAATCTACAAACCCATCAATGATAACTCTAACTCGATTATAAGTTAGATCGGACTTTATGATCATTTCATCAAATAAGAGAACGCAATTACGTTCTAGAACGGACATATTTTTGGCAATTTTGCCTAAATTTCCCAAGACATTGGCATCGACGCCAGGGACAACATACCTAATGGGGCGCCATCTCAAAAGAGAGCTCTTGCTTGGTAAAGCGAAACCTAAATCGTCACGCATGAAACTGTAAGATTTGGTGGACATATAGTTAATATTTTGTGCCAATGTCTTTTCATTGTCACTAAAGAAAGTGCGTTTTGTGACGATCATCCTAGCGAATGTTACAGCATCAGAGCTTGAAGTTTCATCCGCAACTATTGCACGATCTTTAAGTTCTTTATACACTGTTTCTAACTATTTTATAACCCCCTCTAACTCTTCGATCTTTTTATTAAGTTTGAGCGCATTACTTTGATAAAACCGTGCGGATCGAGCAAATCCTTCGCGGCTGTCTAATGCAGAGCCTACGTCGTTATTTTGTGTCCCTAATCCTAATCTTTCTTCTTCTAAAATGGAATATTCAAACAGCGTCGCCTGCCTTGAAACGCAGCTGCTAATGCAGCATCTTCTTCGGGGCAGTGGACCCGTCCACAAATGCCTAGGTGCTTCGTCGTAACCTAATTATATGTATAAAAAATTTATATTCAACACCTGTTCATGTTGTATGTATAAACGTGTATAATTACATTAAAATATAAATATTATAATATATTATTATTGTATTTATTTTATATAATTTTAGCTGACTCGAACTAAAATATATCAGTAAAACTAACAAGTAAGGAAGAGTTAAGTTCGGCTGTAACCGAACATTTTATACTCTCGCAAAGTATACCATACATAGACGGACAGACAGTCACCCGGATTTCAACTCGTCTCTTCATCCTGATTATTTATGTATATATATCTTCCTATATCTTAATCAATTATTTTTATGTCATACAAACAATCGTTAGACTTTGCACAGCAGTTTTAAAAAACCATGGATACTTCACTAAATATTAATGTAACACCAATAATAAATATTATTGTTTCACCATCATCGCACATCACTGTATATACTTATATTAGAAGTATCAGCAAATATACTAATGTTTATATATGTACACATGTTAATATATGTATGTATGTATATAAACATTAGTATATTTGCTACCAAAATTATACTCTTAATATACATACATGCCTACATACACATACAACTGTATGGATGTAATATATTATATTGCTACCATACTAATAATATATTATAAATTATACACATGTTTCTAATTAAAATAAAGTTTTGAAGTTTTTCTAATCCTAATAAAGTTATCAAATGTATATTTATATAAACTACTCTATATAATTTTATATTATTGAAAGAAGAAAAACTTACCAAGGTTGAGGGTGGGCACAGCATGTGCCTTCAATTTTCTCACGCCCACTGCACTTCGCTCGAAGTGTATAATGCAAACGAATGCATTGTGGGCGGTTTTCCACCCACTTTTGGAGGTCCTCCTCGTTTTTGGGAAACGAAAACAATCTTTCCGACTCTTCAATACACTCGCGAACGCGACACTTCCTTCTCACTGACATTTTCAATTTATACAATTAATAAAAATAGTAAACCCACAACGGAAAAACGGTACGAATTGATCTACTCGCGTCGAAAATCTTTTAAAACTAAAATTCCGTTGACCCTTCCTCCTTTTCATTCATTTTGGCGGGATTTCCCCACTAAAACATATATTAGAAAAAGTTAGACAAAAGCACTTGCATATATGGTAATACATATATATATATATATTAGCTTTTCCCTTCATTGTCTGTCTCTCACATATATTTTTCATTTATTAGCATTATTTTTCTCATTTAACATTTAAAATGCTCAATTCTGCTATTTTGCTCTCCGTAGGGGTAAAATTCTGGTGAAATCAGCTTATAATTTGTTTGTGGTGAAATGCACTAATGTTGGCGAGTAACCCTCCGTCAAGAGGAACATTTTGACAATCGGCACACCATGAACCTTCTCTGTACACATGCCAATATAACTAAAAAGTATACGGTCAAAACGGATTAGCATAACCAAACATATGAAAATTAAAATTAACATACATAGGTATGCACATATATATACATTTGTTGTTAAGAACAATTTTATTTTCGCGTTCCTTTTAAACAAATGTATATAGATACATATAATAAAAACGAATATACATACATACAAAATATACAAATTATTCGCGAGTGAAACGAATACCCAGTAAGCAATTTCGGCAATTTTTAAGATAATAATAATACGGACATAAATTTTAATAAAATCTAAATTGACTTGTCTGATAAAAAACAAAAAAAAAAAAAAAAATTATAACAGACTATTTTACAATCATTTTCAACAAAAAAAAAAAATTTTTTTTACTACAGCTTTGGGCAGCAATCTAAACTTTTTTACTACAACCGTATTATAGCATATATTTAATACAAAACTATTTTAATAGCTTTCAATTTAATTCAAAGAGTTAAATGCAATCTGATAAATCAAAAGAGGTTAAGCCACCAACATCTCTATCATTAGAAATTCCAAAAATGGCTGATGATGATAAAGCACAAGGCACACCCGCGGAAGCTACACGCTCAAAGCAGGATGCAAAACAAAAAAGAACCAAAGACAATTCACTGTCAAGGTTCATAACTGAAAGTGACAGTTTTATTAGATACTGCACACGGTTTTCGGCTTCGCCTATTAACGACAATACGACGAATCAGTCCTAAATTTAAAAATTCAAAGCATAGATAATATATGGGCACGGGTTCTGACAGCGTACGATACAATATTAGATACTGACGACGCTGAACTCCCAGAAAACATTAAAGCTTCGGCGTCAGCCAAATATGAAAACTGCCTCGATCAAATAAATACGATACTGAAGTTTTTCATGGAGGTTATGATCAATGGCCGTCCTTCCGGGACATGTTCACTGCCGTGTATATCAACCATCCTAAACTTTCACGAGCACAAAAGCTGTACCATCTCAGGTACAAAACAAAAGGGGAAGCAGGCAGTATTGTTAAGCGTTTCGCTTTGAATGATGAAAATTTTAATCTGGCTTGGGATGCACTGGTCTAAAGATACGAGAACGAAAGAGTATCGGTAGATAACCAAATAACTATTTTAATGAATTTACCAAAAATTCAACAAGAAACCAGCCAAGAATTTTAAAAACTATACTCGACAGTGACTAATTGCTTATCTGTGTTAGAAACACAAAATGTATCCACAGAATCGTGGGACCCTATCCTAGTAAATATTTGCGCAGCGACACTACCTGATGCTGCTTTGCTACGATGGGAGCAATCACTAGTGGTAAGAAAGAAATCGCCAAAATGGCATCAAATGAAAGAATTTTTAACAACTCAGTACAAAATAGCTGAGCGAGTAGAAGGTAGTTAAGCCAAAAGGTCATCAAATTAATGCAAAAAAAATCTATAAAGGAGGACATAATATAATATAAGATCTTTCGAGAAATTTAAAAAAATGTCCGTTTCAGATAGAAACAATCTTGTCCGACAACATAAACTTTGCACCAACAGTCTGTCCAATTCTTACGGGACAAAATACTGTGAAAGCAAATTCAGTTGTGTATAAAATTAACTCCTTCACAACTCAAGTTGAAAATATTTCAAACGAATATTTAAATAATCAACTCAAAAAATTCTGGGAAGTAGAAGAATTACCCCAAATCACAAAACCTTCAGAAGAAGACCTGGCATGCGAAGCCTATTACCAGTCCACAACAACAAGAAACCATCATGGTCAATTCCTGAGCTTGGAAAAAAGCTTGATAGAGAAAAGCGAGCTTAAATCAGCATATGATGACGTGATGGATGAATATCTTGACCTCAATCATATGGAAGAAGCTGTACCATATGAAAAAATATCTAAAGGTAGATATTTATCTTTTTATCTTCCGCATCACGGGGTAATAAGACCAGATAAAATCACAACAAAAGTACGAGTAGTTTTTAATGCTCCAAAGTTTACGAGCTCAGGCAAATCACTCAATGATGTACTATACACAGGGCCAACATTACAACCTGATCTCATGCTGCTAATACTAAATTGGCGCATGTTTAAATATGTTTTCAATGGAGATGTAGAGTAAATGTATAGGCAAATTTTAGTACATAACGATGGCCAAGATTTCCAGCGGATAGTCTTCCGAAAATCAAGTAATAGTCATATCAGCGACTACAAACTTAAAACAGTCACCTTTGGCATCAATTGTGCACCCTATTTAGCCATTAGGACATTACATGAAGTGGCAAAAACCTGTCAAACAAATTTTCCTTTAGGAACTTCTGTGCTACAAAAACAAACATACGTTGATGATATTCTATCAGGTAGCAACAGTCTCGCATTAGCTTTGCACTATCTCAAGTGATCAAAGCACTAAATTCAGCCGGGTTCCCCCTAAAGAAAATTACATCAAATCAGCCTGAGATAATAAAACACATAAAAGGGGAAGACTTATTAGATACGAACTTCCTTAAATTTGAAAAGGCCAGTACTACAAAAACTCTCGGGATTCAATGGAATGCGATAACAGATCAATTCTCATATACAATTGAGTCAATATCTGCAATATCCGCCATAACCAAACGTCAAATACTCGCCTCGGTGGCAAAACTTTTCGACCCCGCAGGATGGCTTTCGCCAATAATGATTCAAGCAAAAATCCTCATTCAAGAACTGTGGTAAGACGGCACTGAATGGGATGAGCAAGTAAAACGCATACGTTTAACAAAGTGGGTTCAATTTGCAAACAATCTACATACCATCTCGGAAATTCGAATTTCTCGATGGGTAAATTTCGCACCTGACTATAATGTAGAATTACATGGCTTTTGTGATGCCTCTGAAAAGGCCTATTGTGCAACAGTTTACGTACGCACTGAATATGATAACAAAAGATCTTCACGTCTTTTCGTAGCCAAAGCCAAAGTTGCTCCCCTGAAGACACTAAGCCTGTCACGGCTCGAACTGAATGGTGCACTTTTGTTAGCAAAACTAGTCTCAATTGTCCAAACCCATCTGAAAATAACCAATCACAAAATGTACCTTTGGTCAGATTCAGAAATAGTTTTAGCATGGCTAGAAAAACCACCATATACCTGGAAGACTTATGTATGTAGCAATATATCTCAAATATTAGACTTAGTTGGCTCAGCACAATGGCAACATGTTGCAAGTGCAGATAATCCAGCGGATCTTGGGACAAGAGGCTGCAAACCACTTCATCTCACCAGCACTACACTCTGGTGGAACGGTCCTACGTGGTTAACAGAATCACAAGAAGTCTGGCCAAAGTCTCCTGCTCGCAATATAACAGCTCCTGAAATTCGGAGAATTGAAAACTTTCATATCACTCCTGATGAAGATGATATATTACATCGATTTTCATCATTCCCAAAAGCACTAAGAGTAGTGGCTTACGTGTTTAAATTTATCCAAAGACTCAAACAAAAGGTTAAAGGAATAACAAACTATCCTTCTGTACAACTAACGCATTCCGACCTGCAACATGCCAAGGTCAGCTTTATTACATGTACACAAACTCGCTATTTCATTCGGGAGAAATCAAAGTTAGTCGAAAGACGACCCCTCGATAAAGGAAGCTCACTTCTCGTTTTAAATCCTTTTTTGGACACTAAAGGATTAATCCGGGCACATGGAAAACTAGTGCATTCCAGCCTTGGTTATAACGAACGACATCCCATTATAATTCCCGAGAAATCCCGTTTTACTTATTTATTTTTAATACATCTTCACCAACTTACATTACATGGTGAGCATCGCTTGATGCAACAAATGGTCCGACTAGAATTTTATATACCGCGCCTAAAGCCACAAATTAAAAGTACGATTTTTATGTGTAAACAATGCACATTGTACAAGCACAAAATACGCACGCAGATCATGGCAGCTTTGCCACCTGAACGCTGCAATTTTGCTCTTCCCTTTACCATTACTGGGGTCGATTTTGCTGGACCTTTCCAGATAAAGGCCTCTATGTTAAGGACTTCCTCATTCAGAAAAGGGTATGTGGCTGTCTTTGTATGTTTCACGACAAAGGCAGTACACCTCGAGCTATGTTTGGATCTGTCTAGTGCGGCTTTTCTCGCAGCATTTGCACGCTTTGTCGGACGACGCGGATTTCCATCAAAAATTATGAGCGACAATGGGAAAAACTTTATCGAAGCTCAAAGAGCCACAGAGAAAGAGTTTGTAAAATTTACCAAAGACGTCTCCCCAGAAATTGTTAAAAAATATGCACCACAAGGAATCGATTTGCAGTTTATACCCCCTTGTTCTCCCCACATGGGCGGACTCTGGGAATCAGCTGTAAAAAGCTTTAAGTCCCATTTAAAGAAAACCCCAGGTAATCATAAATTCAAATATGAGGAATTTACCATACTACTCGTTTGTATAGAAGCCGTACTAAATTCAAGGCCCATCTCACCAGTCTCGCAAATCCCTCCGATTTCACAGCTCTTACATCTGAACATTTCCTCAGAGAAGCTCCACTTCTCGCCATACCTGAGGCAGAAGGAGACTCACTTAATTTAATAGACCGAAGGGAAAAAATGAAGATACTTCATCATGAATTCAGCCATAGATGGAAGGAAGATTACCTTAAAGATCTCCATAAGAGAAATCGGTGGAAAACGATTCAG